CTTCTAGTTGAATATGAGCCATTTGGTGTGAAACCCCATCTGACCGAATCCTCGCAAACCAGAGATGGTTTCAAAAGAGATATTCTTTGGGCATCCTGAGGTGTAAAAGTCTGCTGTAATAAATTAGTATCCCATTGATTAGACCCGGGCCTTAGCAGATCAGAAACCTTAAGCGCCAAATTTATTGGACTATTTTCACGGTACATTGGTGGCCGTGGGATAGGGTCGATAATCCAATTCTCAGCCCAAACATTAGTAGTAGTCCCATTACCAATATGTCGGTACAAACCCTTTTTTAATAATTCTCTGCCGTGCATGATACTCCTCCATGCATATGACGGACGTGTCCCCATTCCACAATCAAGGAAATTTCCATTTTTAAAATATTTGCCTTTAAGAATTCGAGAAACCAGGGAGTCAGGGTTATTCCATATCCGCCAAGCTTGTTTCCCGAGTAAAGCCTGATTGAAACGACCAATATCCTGAAACCCAAGACCACCCTGTTCCTTTGGTTTACATAACTTTTCCCAAGAAACCCATGGGATTTTTCTTTTCTTATCTCCACTACTCCACCAAAACTCTATGATCGCACTCGTAATTCGTTCACATAGACCTTTAGGTAATCTAAAGACAGACATTGCATATATCGGAAGAGCTAAAGCCACTGATTTTNACCAATATCCTGAAACCCAAGACCACCCTGTTCCTTTGGTTTACATAACTTTTCCCAAGAAACCCATGGGATTTTTCTTTTCTTATCTCCACTACTCCACCAAAACTCTATGATCGCACTCGTAATTCGTTCACATAGACCTTTAGGTAATCTAAAGACAGACATTGCATATATCGGAAGAGCTAAAGCCACTGATTTTATTAGCACTTCCTTGGCACCCATCGACAAGGTTTTAGAATACCAACCCTGTAGCCGTCCTTCTAATTTCTCCTTGATAAAATTTAGTAGAGCTATTTTTGAGCCTTGGAAACATTCAGGAAGCCCAAGATATGAACCTTCACCACCTTCTTTCTCTATACCCAAAACCGCTTTGATCAACTGTTTATTCACATGATCTATTTTTTTCCCAAAAATGATGGAAGATTTCAAAGGATTTATAATTTGGCCAGACGCATCTCCATAACATTTTAGCCCTCGCAAAATTTCTTCACTATCACTGACAGAGGCTTTACACAACAACAGGCTGTCATCCGCAAACAACAAATGATGAACAGATGGACTACCCGTTGCTAACTTTATCCCATGTAATTTCCCTTGCGCCTCAGATCTATTTAAAACATGAACTAAAGATTCGGCACATAAAATAAATAGAAAGGGGGATAAAGGATCCCCCTGACGAATTCCTCTTTCCGGTTTAATAAACCCATGAGAGCGTCCATTAAGTAACACCGAGAAAGTGACAGAAGAAACAAATTCAAAGGTAATATTGTTTTTATTGATTATTCTTGGAATGGAAAGTGCATAAACCGAAAATATACAAAGATGGAATGCAAATTCTAAAATGATTGGAATATGATTCTATTAACTTGTTTTTTTGAATGAAATGGATATATGAATATGTTATGCACGAAAATAATTCAGGATGCAAGATAAGTTAAAATATAGTTATGACTACAGGATAATCCGCAACATGCACGGAATGAATTTTTTTTTAAAAAATATATTCTATTTAAATACATATTTTGTTATCAATAATTTTTTTTACATTTGATTAGGGATGGACATTCGGGTAACTTGGTTCGGTTAGATTCTATTTGGTTTAGATATTTGCAGGGTTGGTTCGAATTTTCACAAGTTTGGTTTGGGTTTAGGTTTAGATAACTCAGTTAATTTATTTAAAAAATATTCAAGTTCATATATACTTTAAATTTCTCAAAATATAAAATTTAAAATAATATATAACATAAATTTAAAAAATGAATGCCAAAATCATTTAATTACAATAACCAAAAATGGGTTTATCTTAAATATTTAGACAAAAATCAATAAATATTTCAAGTATTTTTGGTATTTGGAATATCGTTTAGCTATTTTAAAAATGTACATTTAACTATTTTTTTATATTTGTAAGTATTTTGGAAAATTTTAAAACATATCATGCATTTTCTATATTCTTAGATTTTAAATTTAAAAATAATTTATATATTTAAGTATATAATTCTTATTCGAGTACACTCGGATACCCGAAATATGTCGATTCAATTTTGGTTCTCTTTTTTTATAACACTATGAATTTAGGAGTTCAATAATACAGAAGAGCAAAAAACGGAGATAAAATGGGATGTCAATAGACACCAAACAAAAGTAATAGGAGCCTCACCAAAACCTCATTGTTGGGCTTCCAAAGCGAGTAGATGATGGAGCCACACTGGAGCGTTACGGGCGATATACGATTGATGACGAAAGTCGTGTGTGACACTCAAAGAAATAGCTGCTGCAGCTTCATTGCGTTCGGGAAGGGAGTGATCCAAACTCCATGAATCAATCCTTGCGAGGAGGAAAAAAATGTTGTGTCGGATATGGCTGAGGCTAAGGTTATTCGTCGTGCTAAGAACATCGTGTAGAGTTTCAAAGGCTGTCTCAAAAATAATATTTGAGAAGTGTAGAGTATGCAAACAATCAACTGCCCAAAAAAAGAGCCCACAAATCTGTTTCTGTTTTTGTGCGCATACATGAGTAAGCACGACGGCTATGCAAGATTGTTGACCCTTGTTCATCACGTAAGATCGAAGAAGCACCAGCAATATGTCTTGAATTTACCCATGAGGATCCAACATTACGTTTGAGGAAACCATTGGGCGGTTTTCTCCGGTTACTCGTTTCCATTTCGACCTCATCTATTCCTTCCTTCATACCAGTGAAAGTATCAAACCATGTGGTTTCTTCTTCATAGGCTTTTCTAGCAATGAATGATGTCTCGATCCTCTTGGACTCAAAGATGAAAGCGTTTCTAGCTTTCCAAATTTCCCATAACAATCATGGGAAAACATTCCTTGTATGAATATCCGTTGAAGAACTCTTAAGAATCTTGTTCAAATGCACAAAATTTTAAAAAGTGGAATTCCGAGAGAACCCTCCTAAAGGTACTGGAAAATTTGAAAGCTCCCATGTTTCTCGTGCTCCATCACATGTAAAAAGAACATGACAGATACTTTCAGGACCATTACCACAAACAGAACATGTTGGATCAATCGGAATACCCCGAGTATTCAAACGTTGCTTAACTGCTAATGCACGAGATAAAGCACACCACATAAAATGTTTTATTTTTGGTGGAGCTTTAGTCTTCCACAGATCTCTCCATAGTTGTCGTTCAACAGGAGTAAGAGAGTGTCCTTGAGGTTGATCAAAATCCACCAAAGCCTCTAATAACTTATACCCACTACGAGTAGAATAAAAACCACTAGGTGTGAAGCCCCATCTGATCGAATCGTCAATTACCATTGATGGCTTAAGAAGGAGAATCCGTTGAACATCCTGTGGTGTAAAAGTTTGATGTACCAAGTGGATATCCCATTGATTTGACCCCTGAAGTAACAAATCTGATACTTTAAGTGTTAAGTTTATCAAACTATTCTCATGATACATTGGAGGCCTTGGAATTGTGTCGATAATCCAATTTTCAGCCCAAATGTTCGTATCAGCCCCATTGCCAATATGACAATACAAACCCTTTTTGAGCAACTCTCGACCGTGCATGATACTCCTCC